AAGAAAATTTTTACAGAAAAATGCACCATATTCCTCTCCTTTAAGTACATGAAAGTCTGTCCTTTAACTCCAAATTTGAAGCTTGTGTGTTTCAATCATGTGGAAATAACCCCGAATTAGCTATCCTTTTTGGATTTTTCAGGAACAAGACTACTCCACTGGCTACGTAGACTTTAAGATCACCTGCAAAGACAAAAGCCCAAATCTCGCCACGTCTGAGGATATAGCTGTAACATATCATCTAACTTTTTTTGGCCTGGGTTTTGTTTTGCAAATACCTCAGTTCATTCTCTTTCAATTTTCCTTGCATTAAACAAAGCCTCCCAAATATCAATTCGTGAAAACTGATTTAGCTTTTGCAGATCTGGGTTTGTGAATTGTGAGCATGGTCATCGTCGATGTGCAAAAGGAAGCCAACGCGAGAGGGAACCCGATCTAGATTTTTCTGTTCGTGCAAGGGTCAGACTCACTCGTCGGCCTTAAAAGACAAAGCTTCGCCCACTGGTTAAGCTTTGCACCGGTTCTTCTTTCCCTTTCCTATGCGGATTCTGGCATTCTGCCATTAATGGAGAAGAGACGGGGTTCGGTTATGAGGAAGAAGACGGATAAGGGGCCTTGTTTGTAACTTTATGTTTTTATAATTAATTTTTACGAGTATGTTTTAATAACAATGAGTCCAGGTCATAAAAAATGACATGTATGAAAAAAATAGGCCAAGGTTGCTACATCACCATGATTTAATCGGATATATAAGTGGAAACACGGAATGCTGATGTTTGTTTGCATTGGCAGTTAAATTTTCACCATTAAATTCAGCTTAATTTAGACTAGTTTTATTTAATTTTAAAGTTTGAGAGTTGATACACTACAAAATGTAATATATATATATATATATATATAAATACGAGGAAACTTTAATAATATCAAAAAATACAAAGGACAATATATCCTCCCCGTCTTTGGTCGGTAAATTAAAAATGAGGGAAAGTCTGAAATAAGAATTGCAAACGTTAATGTAATTGAAGTTATTGCTTGTGCTCGACATGAAGTGGAACTGCTATACTATAATATTTGGTGATGTAGCAACAGTTTGATATGTAATTTTGACCCTAATTAAGGGCTCATGTGAGAATTAGAGAGGACAACAGAATACAGATAGACAGGAAGGCAGAACTTAAAGGAGTATGCGAACTCCTGAGATTAGAGATGGAAGGTGTTTGATTTTATTCTTCACTTCTTCCTTTTTCTTGTAGGGTACGTGAAGAATGAACTTAAAAGAAAGAGAAAATCCATATCCAATATAGTTGAAATTCAACCACACATAATTAAAAGCAATCCTCCAATGCATAAAACAATTGAATAATGACGTATGATACAATGAAATGCCAAATTAAACATACACACTCCTGAGTGTCTACAAATTTGGAATTTGGCCCCTCTCATATTAAATTCTGGCTCTTCTCTATATTGGCCTGTTGACGCTGACGCTGACGCTGCTGCATCACAAGTAAAGCAGCATTCTTGAAACGATTCCGTTCATGCCCGGCTCTAAAATCATCAGACGTTACCTCAAGCCTGACATCATCAGCATTAGTATCATCAGCACTAATAATATCTTCAGACTTTGTTTCTGGACTTGCAAACTGAGTTCCGATGCCCAAATGATTCATCAACAACCAAACTAAAGTGATGAGTTCTCCACCTTTACTTGGTTGCTGTGCATGCACATTTGGCTTGCAATTAATAGCTGCATAGCACATTATTTCCACCCAAACTTGGCTCATTAATTTCCACGGAATGCCGTGCGATCCCCCGTGAAATCCCTTCAGCTGATGGGCGAGCTTATTCGCATGATAATGTAAAATAGGATACCGTTTTGCACCCCTATAAAATGGAAACTTGAATAAGAAGTCACGACTGTCTGGACCCAATTGAAGTATTGCTCTGGAGAAATATTTTCCATCCAAACGGGACGGACTATTGAAGAAGCGCCTTACATCGTCACACGATTGCTTATGTACATCTTTCCAATCAAGGGACACAGTGGACATCATACCTGGCTGCATCTCCATAAGGTATAACATATAATCTGAGAGTAACTTGGAAATCGCTTTGTAATTTATTAAATTCCCATCCATATTGTTTGATGGAGGACTATCGTCCTCGTCATGAAAGCACAAATCGGTAGCAAAGTGCCATGTCAGAAGGCTTTTCGAGTAATCCAAATCCTTGACGCTCCAGATGAGACGCCTATGTTCGTTGTTGCTGTCAAGAATTCCATCACCTCTTTTCGAAGAAATTTTGATGCCCTGTTCTACCGTTGCTGCAAACGCAGCCTTTCTTTTCATTTCTTCAAGAATGAAGTGCCACACTTCTTCTGTGAAATCTCGTGAGGACAAGTATCTGCTTAGTTTAATGGCATCCAAAACATTCCTTATGTGAAAAAAATCAGCCAATTTGTTCAGCCAATATGGACGGTCATCAACAAAACAGGTTATAAAGTTGCACTGGGGGATTCTTCTGGACCACCTACGTTTGTTTTTAATCCAGGCCACAATTTTCCATTCCGGAATCGGAATCTTTCCGAGGGCTAGATTGAAATCGGAAAAAATAAGAAATCCGATCGATGTGAAATCCAATGTTCTGGCCCCGATCAACAGACCATAGGTTAGCCAGATTTCAAACTTTCCCAACTGGTGGTAGTGGTTGAGAATTAATCCGAATGACAACAGGGCTCCCAAAATGCAACCAAAACTAATGGCCCGGAAAACGTATCCAATCTTACAGCAAACCACAGGCAATTTGGTGTGGAGGGCTTCATACAAGAGACTTAGCTCAGTCTCTAATTTCAGAAGGACCTCTTTTGACCCTCTCTCCTTAATTACTTCTCTGTTGGTATAGCGTACTTGTGCATGTACAAGGGGCCCTACAAGTAGATTCTTGATAATGCCCGTGGCAGGCTCTTTAAAATGGTCAAAGCTTGCAAGATAAAAGGCATAACTTCGCTCTGCATATTTGATTATTCCTGCAATTAACACTAGGAGGGTTGGGAGCCAAAGCTTCTTGCCTGGGAGTGATTGAAGGATAACATAGACAGTTGAACCAATTTGTAACATAAGCCCAGGCAAGTGCCTTAACCAAAGCTCATTATCCTCCAAAGAGAAGGATGTAATGGTATCGGGGCCACCAAGATGCAACAAAAGAAAGGTTGCCCAAAAGGCTAGGATGTCACTTACTTCGGCACGTCCCATGAGTCCAATAGTAAATGTAGCAACCCAGTCTGCAAGCAAGTATGTCAACCAAATCGAAACCACGATCCATTTATTCCCTCTTTGTCTCCTTAGTGGTGCAAACAGAATTAGTAAGGACTGAACCAAGAGGCTTAGAATAATCAGTCCTCTGATATTCCATGTACTCCATAGCTTCATCACGCTTTCAACAACTGGCGGGCCCAACATCTTCTTTATAGTGTGTTCTGCGTTTGGGATTACTAGCTATGAGTCCATACTGCTTCATCAAAGTGAGGTTTTTTTTTTTTTTTCGTTTGTTAATCAAAGTGAGAAGTTTAAAATCCGATGTGCAATTAAGGAGAAAGTTGTGAGTATATAATATGAGCCTTCTCAGCCATTGTTAATTTTATTTGTTTTTAGGTTGGATGCTCTTTCTCATTAATGGCCCCTACTATTATTGATTGATATTGAAATCCCCATCTCCAATACATACATATATATATATATATACATATATACATAATCATTGATATGATTTTGAAACAGCACGCATTTAGGCTTTCGTGAATTAAGTACTGCTGCTACAGTGGTGTCACGCCCCAGAACCCGAATTCGAGGCGCGACAGACGCCGTACACTCGTGAGACGGGTCCCACAAATGCACAAGGCTCGGAACTTATTCAAATCACAAATCTCAAGAATAAAATCTAACTTACAAAAGGATGATAAAATCTAAAACTTATATCCAATTGGAATGGCTAGCCTTCTACCTCGTCACTCCCCTCGGTTTCCCCGTCTTTGGTTTCGCTTCCTGAAATGGTGGACAAGGAAAAACTATGAGATAAACTCAGTAAGTAAATGTATGGATAGCCGGTGGGTAAAATTTAAGCATTTCAAATAAACAGTTTAAACATAACGGAATGCTCAATGATAACCATTATGCAGAACAAAGTTCAGTAGTAGTCAATTAAACTTATAGCATGCCAACAAGTGTAACCA